TGGTCAAGTACTCAAATCTTTACACGTTTCTGCCTTACCATCCTGAGCGTCACATTCACAGCAGAAACGGTGCAGAAAATGTTACTATCGTCAAATACACAGCTCCGCAGTGGCGGATAACATTCACCCGAAATCCCTGCACGTAGTAAGCATGCACCTTGCCGAACCACTTGCTGGATTCTATCAGCGCTATCTACTCGAGACCTTGGTTCATGCAAAGTGGAAGTAGGGTGTTATCGCATCTGTTCTCAAGGGAAGAATTCGGTCTACTCTGCCCATTACCGCGCGGCAACCATTTTCCTTCCACTCTCAGTGATCATGGAATCCATCGTCGCAGGCGCAAAGAATGGACTACCTGGAAAGCTATGGCATCGTTGAGTCGGAGCAGCATAGCTGTCGCCAACACCTATCATGTACCACGAACCTGCTGATAGCACTCGACAATTGGACCGAAGCAGTCGACGAGTGAACAGAAACCCATGTTACTTGGCCTTTTTAAAACGTTCGATCGCTTGGATCATCGCACCTTGTTTTCCAAACTTCAGACATACGGCAAACTTCCATTACGGTGATGGATCGGTAACTTTCACCTTGAACGGTAACTGCTGTTTGGAGTCCGAACATTATTCACCGACCCGATTCGCATGGATTGTGGCGTATCGAAGGGTTCGTTAGTTAGACCTCGCCCATTCTTATTCTTCATAAACAACCTGGAGAGAATTCGCACCCCAAAGTGTTTACTCTTCGCGGATGATGTCAAGCTTTGGCTGGCGATTAAAAACTTGGGCTAACATGAGATCCTCCAGCTTGAACTCGATGAAGCGTGGGATTAATCGGTGAGCAAGGCGCTGTCATTGACTGTGGACAAGTACCGAGCTGTTCAAATCCGCCGTCGGCAAGCCTACATCTACAGACTTGGGGCGTACGATTTGGAGACCATCTCTTAGGAACGTGACCTCGGCATGTTGGTACAGGACGACGTCCGTTGTTCCAAACACTTCGAGTCCGCCTCAAAAAGAGGTAACTAGCATGTTGGTCTCTTGCGGATGGCATTCGGGAGTCTGGATTCATCCATCTTCTCTCTGATGCTCTATGCGTACGTGCACACACATGTCTAATACACCATGCTGGCTTCTAAAACATTGTCAAAGGGTGACTTCGCAGCGCTCGAGATCCAGCAATGTAAGTTAACGAAAACTGTCATGGGTTTGAGCCCCCTTCCGTAACGATAATAGCTTAAGAAACTCGGAGTGTTCAGTGGACGCTGCCGGTGACTACGTGGAGGCACCATATTAGTATGTCAAATACTGGTCGATTCACGGCACAGATGCCATCGCTTCCTGAAACTCAGTCCAACAATTGAAACTGGGTTAGCACTACAGTCGTTTATATTTTTGTGACATACTTTTCCTTCCTGGTCTGCTAACCTTTGAACGCTCATCTAAACACATGTTTGTTCCCCTAACTTTGTAATTTTCAGAAAGCGACTGGATATCGAAATGAGCTCCCTACACTTTTCAATTGAACGGATATATTCTGTGATACATTTAGGTTAATAACATTGTTTGGAATTAAAACCCACTGTCACGCACTTAAATCTGGGCAGACGGGTTAACATTCCGAGTGTTATTTGCAATAACTTAGACCATAACATTCTGTTATTCCCTTTTCCATGGTAACAGCTCACTCCAGCAACCTAATTTTTTCTCATTGATTGACCGTTTCGCCTCTGTGTAGTTTATTCCGTCCACTTAGGTTGTACACGAATTTGAAATTCCTTATATTACCAACGTACGGGACATGTTAATTTTATGCTCTTCTACTCGCCATAAACCATTGTTCCACTGTTTCGTATATTTTGTAATCCATATACAATATACCGAATATAATTTCTGAGCGCAGCGAAGTCAGATCGCTGATAGGCCCTGGTGTGGGGAACCATCTGAAAGCTGCGGTGAGGTTACTTTTCAAGTGAACGGTGATTTTATGTGGTACAAAGCAGGGTCCAATCCGTCCTACCTTCACTTCATGCGATGTTCTAAGAAAGAATATCCGTCCTCTTCTAAGTATTCCAGCATGTCACTAGCTTTACGGTCAGCACAGTTAGATTGTGTTCCACCTGCTGAGACTGTTGCTCGCTTTGCGTTATTTTAAATCAACTTCAAGTAGATTCTGTTGAAACAAGGTGCTTGTTAGGCCGAACCGTTTACTTGTGCTGACATGCCTTACCCCATCACAGGGGACATGCTCCGGATGTTGATAACCTTAGATAAGTAGGCATGTCCATTAACATAAGATTTCTACAAATACCTTGGGTATGAAGCTGTGTTAATCTGGACCGTGAATATCTAAACTTTATAGAATCCACCGTTGTCACATAAAACTGACCGACTAACTTTGAGGAAAACATAAACGAGTGAAAACATAGTTGTACACAGATCGGTACATCAAACCGGTTGAGGGCTAAAGGATGCAGTAAACGCCCATCCCGTTTTCGGATAGTATAATCTATAGAACCTCATAGAAGTGTCCACTTGAAACATCACTTGTGAATACCGACTGGGAGAATCTGTAGGTAGTTTAAGTACAATGAAAAAGGAGGATACAAATAGCGGAGACGACATGCAAAGGAGTTCCTGCTTGTAATATTGCTCACTGCTGCTGTACTGAGCCACATTTTGGTGGACTATAAATTACTGTTAGACAATGGTAAGAAGTGGATCACTTTCTCTAACGTTCGGAGCAGAGACCCGAATGTTAGTTACAAAACTTGGGTTTGGATTTGGCATTTGGCATTTGATTCCAATTGTGACTGAGTGGATACACGGGCCCCATAGCACAACACTTCACCGGGTACTAGTAGTTATTTCCAGCTAAAGATAGAACACTGCTGCTCAGAGAACTACCTTATAGTTTGCATCGTTGTAGTACAGCCTCAGTTGTGTCATATCTTCGTTCCGTATGTGGTTGGTTTATTTGCAACCTCGTCGTTACCACAAGCTAATTTGGCCATACATTTGGTGGTAAGCTTCCTGACTGCGCGTCTGTCCAATGGGATGATAAATCATCAGAGGAATCACCTTGTCCACAAAACGGCCGGTTAGGTATAGCTATGATGAAGCACCATGAGTAGCGGTAGAGGAAATTATGCGGAGAAACTCGCTTTCCACACCTTGGGACTGACAGCGAACATAAGGTGAACAAAAAAGGCACCACGAATGGTTGGAACACAAACCGAAACTAGCTGTATTATTGAATTTGTGTGCTTTTTGCTAGGAAACAGGTTAAATGGGTGCATTTGGTCAATTCGTCGCTGGGTGCCGACACAAATGTGGGAAGCATAAGCGCGAAGAAGCACATGAATGAGTTTGTCTGCATGTGCGTAAGCGATAGCGAAAGGTCAGAGGAACAGGCATCAAAAACCAAGCCTGGGTTATTCGGCAAAGGCTCCATCAACGGGCCATAGTAGAACTGGTGCCATTAATACACAACAGCCGACTGTTTAGACAAGAAGCGACCAGTGAACATAATGAAGGGCAAGAACGGTAGTACAGTTCGACACCGAGGCACAGTAGTGAGGTGTAATACATCAAAAAGAAATAAAACTGAGGACTTCAAATGAAGCACATTGATTCGTGCTCGCTGATTTCTTAGCTCCGAATAATGGAGGCTAGAATAAGTCGCCATGCCTATCATATGACTGGGGACGCGTGGCGCAAATTAAATATGTAGTGATCTGTTTGTTTAATTAATAGACTATCCACAATACTGATTCACCAAGTACAACACTAGCTTGGACGGATCCCTGTTATGGCCATGCGAATAGTTATAATAAGCACTCTGCGCCCAATATGTTTTCAAATCCATAAACTGGACAAGACATTAAGGACACTATGGGCCATTGGCAATCCTGGTAGTTTCTGAGGTCTCAGATTGGTTGGTACTTTAGGCAACCAGACCTGGAGGAGTTCTCACTGGTGATGCCCACAAAACCAAAAGAGCAGTTGAAATGAATGCTAATTGAATTGTGCCACCATCGACGTGCGTGTTGCGTCCGTTAGAAGTTTGCACAGAGCGGCTGAGGCGTATGGATAGCCTGAAAAATATCGAGGGCAGTGGGCTTGTCTACTTGATCAGGCATGGTTTCTTAGTAGCAAGGAGAAATATTCATTTTCATTTTTATCAGTACTTAGCCATAAAGCTGTTTCGCGTCATAAGCTAAGGGAGTGGCGGTTAATTTCGTACCCAAATAATCTAGCAAAGTACTAGTTATTAACTTTGTACTAGGTGGGAGTGAGCCGGACCACTAAGTGGACTAACCAAATGTTGTATCTTTGCGTAGGCAACAACAACTGTGGCAGAGAACCAGTTTTTCACAAATCATACTGTGTGCAACAGATTTAACTTAACAAGGTGTGTTGCACCTGTCACAATATACCAGAAAGAAAACCAACGTAAAGTATATTGGCTGGAACAACCATAGTGAAGTATGCGAAGTAAGTGGCAAGTGGCGAAGAGCAATTAAAGTATGGATTACCGCGTTATATGTGCATTTAGTGATGATAGTGTTCTTAAAATATGACCATGTTTGTAATAGTGAGGTACTGATTAAAGAAAAGCCGCATTAGTGACGGTTTCCTTTTCTTAGCAACTAGTAATCAACACAACTTGTGACTATAGATATCCGGAATGGTGGGTGGGTTTTAGAAGTCACTGGCTTCCCTATGCACTGCACTGCTGGTTTCATGCTTCTCTGGACTAGTCATGGGGAAACAACCGGTTTCCAACCACAGGTACGCGTTAGGGACTGAAATGGCCTAGGAGTAATTGCAGGTAGATTGTGATCCAACCTTTTATAACGTGCATAAGTATAAACGCATTTCAATAAGCAAACGACAAATGGGACTTTATGGGTTTCTTCATGTTTGTCAGGCAGTCATAGCCGATTACTGAAACGAACGGTTAGAGCCATGCTAATAAGCGAAATCCCATGAACTTACCTCGGGCTTGTCGCACAAAGGGAAGCATTAAGCTGCCTGATCGTCCGACACGTCGAGAGACACAGCGGTACCCCTGACAAGGTTTGCTCTCCTCAAGAACAGGACAGTGCTGTCCACCGTTGCTCGGTGGCTGAATAATTCGACGTCTTCTAACGCTCACGCCTTGGCCACATTGACGATCGCATTCGCTCCATGGTCCCCATTCGCTTACCATGCAGTCAATTACTGTTGGGGGATGTAAAAATAGATTTCATTTATGTATTTCCTAATTGCATCCAACATGAAGTACTCAACCAAGGCAATTCAAAGGTTGCAACTTATGTGGTCTAGGAATACAGAGCTATCAAACGGTAGAAAAAATATACCACAGGGAGATAACAGCATGATTATACGTCGAATGCACAATTATATACCCCCAAATTAGTTGATTTGCATTTTACTTCTCTCAAATCTTAGTGGTGTGCATAAAACTGTGTGAGCTTGTGGAAAGTTGGTAGTTGATCTTAAACCTAGGAAACGCATTCATTAGCATACGGCTTTGCCAAAATATGTACTTTGACTGTGTGCGTCACTAGGTTGAAAGAGCCTTCATTTTCACTGTGACTCGACGACTACTCAAATAAATCTCTTGAACGTGACAGTAGGGATAAAGTTTGGACAGAGAATAAATTGGTTAAAATGTGAAATCCACACATGATGTATCATCCGGATCTAACAGCAAGTACTAAGCCGAGGAACTAGTGCATACAGGTTCCTTAAGCCAATGTTGAAGAACTCATTGTGCGAATGGATGGTGATGCACCAGTTGATGTGAACCGTAATTCGATTACTTGGATATATTACACTGTCCACCAACTATCTTCCTAATGCCCATGTGATGTCGCTTGCAGGAATCCCAAACGTGGAAAAACCAGTCACCATTGCACACTGACTGATGATACGTGACAGACCCACTTGGGAGGACAGTTTCTTGGACACAAAGAAATGTACTTTGAAATTCGACCAACAATGCGATGACTGTATGGCAGCATCCCCACAGGATTCTCAGGTATGTTGCCCCCGAATTCCTGTGGAGAATTTAAGCTACGATTATGACCCTGTTCTCTTGGGAGAGATCACTTGCTAATTTGTACCAACAAGGGCCAGACAATGTCTAATGACAGAAAGAACAAAATAATTTCATACTATGTGACACACCCCTAGTGCTGTTACCATGCACACCATTCCACCTAGTGCATATTGCGTTGAAACACACCTGTTAGTTAAAACAAACCGTTGAAACAGCAAAAGCTATGCTAATCACACATCTGTCTAACATCCATGCATGAGCATGAAATATTCTGTAAAATACGTTCTGTGCCCAATTTGGCCACAGGTTCTCACTCGATGAGAAATAGATTTATTATTATTATTATTAATATTATTATTATTACAGAACTAAGGGGCCGTACCTGTCTATAGAGGACCTCCTGTCTCATAGACTGCCTATATCATCAGTGAAATCTTCACGATCCCAGCTCTGCAAAATGTGCGTGCGTAATGAGCCTTAACCGTTTAGTATCGGTGGTATAAAAGTTGCCAATTTCTAGGTGCTACGAGCAAGAACAAAACACATCAGTGAGAATGACTAACTGAACCCGGTGGCCATGAATCGATTGCTGAAGCGGGGAATACAGCTCAGTTTACACCGTTTTCTTCTTTCAATCCCTGTTATTCGGTCCTAACAGCGATGGCTTCCATTGGAAGACCAACACACAGATGTCTCACATCCAGCTCACATGCTGTGCGGTGATGTGCTAACTTAATGATTTCTGGTGGTTTCAATGGAATAGTGACAGATATGTGGGATGAAACGAAATTGGGGTAAGTGGATGCTGCTATGGTAGACAACAGATGTGGTCATACAACAACACTGGTAAGGCCTTCTTACATCGAGTCAAGGTGCACGATACTATGAATAGCGCTAAACTGCAAGCATTGAGAAATGGTTCCTCGGAGTGAAAGCGTAAATCGAATCAGAGAGGAATATCTGCATAATAGACCAAGCGAGCGCGGACTAATCTCGTATCGGACAAAAAATGTTCGGTTGCATTCTATTCGTATTTGCCAACTTATCAGAAAAGCCTGTGCGCACCACATAGAGATAATTGGTGTGCACTGTTACCAAACCAATTTGCGTCAATTTTAACTTCGGTTCAACTTGTATGGGTAGTTACTTTAAAGGTAGTTGCGCATCTTATGAATAAAAACCGGAAGAAAAACAACAAAAACGTTAACTAACGTTACAAGTATTTGTTCCGTTCTTAACTACCGTGATTAGCTGATTAGATTTGGTGTACAACTCATTTCGGCTGGTATAATTGCATCCATCAAACGTTGCGTGTAACGATTACGATTTTTGGAAGTAAACCGCTTGTTTGTCCAGCAGATTAGTAGTAGAATGAAAACGTAGGATTCACAGCCATAAAAGCTTGCAAAAAACCTGCCAATCGCAAACCTTTTTATGAAAACTACACTTTTTGAATGCCTTAGTGTTTTTGATACATAGAGAGATCGGTGTGGGCACTAGAAAAGTAAACCATTTCTGGCGAAGCAGTCTGTGATTTATTGCGAGCAGTCGCGTTGAAAAAGTGGTTTAGTGTAAATGCCAAATGATCTTCAGCGTGCTGTACCAAATACTATCCCCAACAACATATGCCGTTTTCAGCACTCAACCAGTACTGGGTCAAGTGTACTAATTGCACGACGGGACAGATTCCAAGTCACAAATCTTCAGATGAACTCATTCCAGTTCAGTTAAACAGGTGTAATCGGATCGAGAATTGCGGTGGAATCACTTCATGTAAACGTGATGGTACGAAAACAAGTGACGATTTTGGGAAACTGGGAGTGCTCAAATATGAAAAGCGTTGTGAAGTTAGCATAGCTCCGCGAAACTTGCTGAATTCGCCCGACCTCATCACAATCACACTGCCATCATGCGGTGAGCCAAACTGTGCAGTTAATAATCCAGCTGTACTCAGGACCCCTTACGATTAGGTTGTAACACATGTGCCTTACCAACATCCACTTCCCCTATGGTTTATGTAGTTTGCTGTATACTATTAGCTCTAAATATGAAGGTGTAGAACCCATGTTTTGGCTTTGGCTGAGTTGGTAAATGAACTCTTACTATTGACCAGTCATTCTTTGCTAGATCTCGGTGAAGTCGTCTGAGGTTGCGGGTTTCGTCTCCAGCCTCATCTCGTGTGCACATACGTCTGCGGCTGTCCCTTAGGTGCACAGTTCCAAATTCACTCGCCTATTCTGCGCTTGCGGTACTATTGAGGAAGAGCGTTTCCGTCGTTCTGTACAACAGTAGAAACAGCTACGGTGTGTTATACAAAAAGAGAAGGGAGTTCTTTAAAGTGAACACAGCTAATCCGGTTTGAATATGAATGACTAGCTGCAAGTGACCGGATGCAAGGAAACAATTTAATTATGTCGCATGAAGTCTCTAGTCGCCGATGTCAAGCATCATAAGACCCCAATCCACCGAAACGCCCAATCAATTTCCTCTTGCCTGTCACACCACTCATGGGCCACCAGGCGCTTTCGTCAAGATTGGTAGGTCAACAACACGTAATGCGAGTCCGTGTACACGGTTAACGAACACATGTAAAATTTAATAGACCATCTAGTGCTGGTCTACACATTTAGACCAATTAGGAGATGACAGTGGTAAAATAATGTCTACAGAATCCTTTGTAAACGGTCAGGCAGCGCTGTACCAACAGGCCGTTGTGAGGTGCAATACATCTATCGCTCTAAAGTCGCTAGGCACTTCTAAGAGTTCAACTAACTAGCATTTGAGGTCGAGTTCGGGTCAATGTTGTAACGGGAACAGTAACATATACTTAGCCGAGACATCTCAGAGGTTGAATGGACTCCGTATTCTAGGGTCAATAGCTGTGTGTGCTGCATTGTTATGTTACCATTCACGATAGGTAGTTATAGATAATATTAACATGTCGTTGAGCTGCCATCCACGGAATTCTGATACCTGTCATGTACGGTGTTCATTAAGTGGAAGTGGCCTTTCCCCAAAACTCGGAGAAAATTGACTAAAAGTCGTTTTTTTTCAACTGCGGTACTTCCGCTGCGGAGTGTCTTGCTCTGTGGTGTTTTCCACGGGCAGAGTGCATCCCAAGCTCTCAATGTGGTTTTACAATGATTAATGCCGTATAGGTTTCAGCTTCGCAAGTTAGACCACATTTAAACGGATGAGTTTTGGGTTTTGTTCTAAACTGCATCAGACCAGTTACATGCACACTCACTCGGTTTGTGACATAAAGTCCGATAATCCGGGCAGCAGTCTTTAGTAGTGGTGCAGAATTCATCACAGAAACAGGTTTTAACTGCTTTCCGTGTGCGCAACATAATATCGGACGTTGGACACAAATGCTGGGTACTGGAGGTCCGGTTGCCATTAACATCGTAGGTGTATCCGCAACATGTGGATTGCTTTCCTCGACAACATATTGGGGTTCCAGCTGAAGTTGTACATCCGCCTTGTACTAGCGCAGCAACAGAGCTGAAAAGCACCACTATGACGTTTATCAGATATGGCTTGTTCCAAAGTATGTTTGCTACTCCAATTCCACTTGTACTCATGACAAAAGCTAGGGATTGAGTTGTCAGTAAAATGATGTTTTCACTGAAAGGACACGCGGTTGGTAAGATAGCAACAAGAGGTCGGATCAAATCGAACAAATTCCGAACAAATTCCGAAAATTTATATCGTGTTGCCACCAGGAGATTCGCCAGCTTAGGACGAGTCTGGGCGTATGAGTCTATGTTACGTCTTTTCGAATGCCGATGTCAAGTTAAACGGTAACAAATCATCCATTCAACAAGAAACTACTTGTTGACGCCCCAAATCTTTTGCACTCTCAATGGTGAACATGTGGTAGGCACAGTGCTGAGCTCACCGGCTGAAGTCACTCACACTGTCACCCTGGGCAGGCGGACCTATCTGAAGTGGCGAGCCGGTGAACCGCACTGTGATTGGACATGCTAAGGATGCAATACACACTCCGAATTTTGAATGGCAAAGATGACCGGGCGAGTGAGGTGTGTGTGTGCACAAATGCAGGTGGCCGGTGTAAGATTACACACGACAAGTAATTGTGCGGATGGTTGGCTGCCCGTGCTTGTGGTGTGTTGCTTGTGTGAGGATGTGTGTGTGTGTGTGTGGAGAGGTTTGGATGAATGATGCAGTGGATATGTTGGCTGCACTATCTCTTTCCCCACGTACATCGCTATCCTCAGGATGCGTTTTGGGGAACTACAGCTCCAGTTCGAGCTAAATTTGCGCCCAAACACAGTGGTCGGGCGTACTTTCCTGAGAACAACGGTCTTTTACTGACATCAAATCCTAGCAGATATTACAAATTCACTTACAGTTCCTTTGTATTATATCTCCTGGAATGTGCGGTCTGAAAAATCACTTGAATGTGCTGTTTGGAGCGGTTAAGCACCATGAGCTGGAAAGTAAATCTTCAGTCTCAAACTGCCCATGTCTTAAACATATATGAGTAAATGCTGTAAAATTTTGACTATCCAAGAAATGAAGTAGCAATGGAGTTCGGCTGTCGCTGCCTACTGGTTTCCTATTCTGTGTTCTGTCCACAGAGATTTAGAGTGAGTAGGGATCAGTCATTTGTTGGGAATGCTGAAATCCTAATATCAAGCTGTGAGCAAATATTTTGATCTCAAATCCACAGGTCTGCTAAGCATTTCATGAGAGTGTCTATTCGTGAGTCACAGGAAAATGATGGGTGTAGGAATGTGGCAAACAACCTTCTCGTGGTGCCAGCCGAGTGGCTCGAGTTTAACCCGTTCCGGCAAATAGTTCGGCGGCAGTGTTCCAGGACGTGTTGGGTTTTCGTCTGGCAAGCGTTCTCCCTATAAAAAGCTAATGTCTGTTTAACAACACTGTGACGTGCAGGATGTGATTCGCCATTAAATAAAGTCACTGCCGTTGATTACTCGGACAGTCTTCTCAAATCCACAGACGTCAAACATTCCTTTAGACAGTGGCGACGCGATCAAACTCACTCAAAAATGCAGCAACACATTTACAAACACAAGCAACACACCTTCCTACATACCTACATTTATGGACCCACATATATAAAAATCCTATTATAATATTTCACATTTCTTGATCAATTGTTGCACTATTACTACGATCATGTCTTTAATGGCATGCCTCGCGTAGCAGAGAATAAAAAATTATTTGTTTATTTAATACTGAAAGCAATGAGTGATCATTAGCATTATCAACGGCCACAACAAATGAAGCAATCTACCAGGTTGTGGGCAGGAGTATCTAAAATCGCTGACTGTTAGCATGTCAAATGGCACGCGGCTTGGGCATCTCCCAAGTGCCCGCGAATTGTATCATTGAGAATGACCTTGGATATTCAAAAGTTTCTGCTCGTTTGGTTCTTGAGTAGAAGCGTACTCGGCGCAACATATCATTTACTAATTTGGGTGTCTGAGGCCGATTTAGACAAATTTATTACTCATTTCCTTACCATAAGTAGGCATTGGGTTTACCACTATTAGCTTTAGACAAAACGAAAATTCCAAGCCACAGTATCGTACCCCATCTTCAACACCAATGAATGATAGGGTCACTCCATCAGCTTGGGAAGTGGTATCAGTGTCTTTGGATGCATGAAATGTTGTGATAATGGAAGAGGTCATACATTATGGGAAACCGTTACGTTGATCTATGGCAACTAGTTAAACGGAAGAATTCAAGAAAAAAGTTCGTGTTGAAAGATAGTCTTTTCCCACCATAGCAACGCACAAGCACACAAGCTCACGGCCATCATTATGGCAACAATCCTTGAGTTTGTGGGTTCTGAATCTCCACTCATCCACCTTATATTCACCAGAAATGCACAATCAGATCCGCTTGCCACTTAATTTGAAAACGTTTTAGCTGGCCGGCATTTCTCTACCATACTGAGATCATACATCCTGTTGAGGTGTTCTTATGTTCATATTATGAAGAAACATTTTTCACTGGGTTAAAGACTCTTCAATGCCTCTAACGCAAGGGTGGTGACTTTTCGAGGAATCTTTTTGAGAAATAGCAGTGAAAAATATGCACCTTGAATGTTTCCTTGTTTAGCAAATTTCCCTTATCCCTCTTGCATGGACTTAACAATGGTTTACCGTCATTAACTTATTTACCATGTAAACTCGGCCGGTGGCCGAGTGGTCTGCACGCTTGCTTTGCAACCATAAGGTCACCGGTTCGAATCCGCGTAGGGTTGGGCGTCCTCGCGGTATACTCAGTCTGCGCGCGACTGGTGGTGGTTGTGCGGCAGCGAAGCGCCGTTACGGAGTACAGCTGACACATTACATACATTACACTATGTAAACTGTGCATTTGGGTGACATGGTTTAAACTCATAATAACAATAATAACAATAGCAATAAAATAATAATAATAATAATGTATATTTCTTGTGACCGTAAAGCCAGGTCCACAAAGGTACGGATGGTGTTTACATATGCAAAATAGTCGCGCATGCAGGATTGTCAATGGTTGGAGGTTATGAAAGGATGTAATAGGTACTTTTGAGAAGATTTTTCGGGTTTTCACTGTTGCTTATCAGAACACCAGCATTGTCAGGTTTTGCATCTGATGCAGAACGGGAATACCACAGAAGAATAAAAGGGAAACAAGGCGAAAAAGGGATAAAGCAACACGCATACAATAGCCTAGAGTAATATAATCAAGTTATGTGTAGTTGGTGTAGTTTTACACGTTTGCGAAAGATGAGATAGTGGTTGGATTAATATATCAATGTGGCTGCATATGACTTTACAGAGCTATAGATTTTTTGGCCGAGTAACGTAAGGTAGCAAGCACAAAGAGACGAGTTAATGAAGAGGGAACTGCCTGGCCATTCTTAGACTTAGATTTAGAATTGACTCGATCAAACAAGATGTGTTGTGTGTTTTCGGAGTTGTTTTGAGACTAAGTGAGCTCAGTTGCTTTCCTTTCAGTCTTCACTTGTAGGTGATCTGTGAATTTCCCGGTTGCGTAACAAAAATTGGATGTTGAGATAGGACGAGTAGATAAAAGGATAGATAAATGAATAAACCATTGTTCTGTGAAATGATAAAATTTTCAAGTCATAATGAATAAGTTACGGTCATGGACGAAATACCGAACACAGGGTGATTAGGAAAGATTACAAATAGTTGACCAACTTTTGGCATACATATAAGAAGGGAACGCAAAAGCACTGCATTAAAATCAAGAGCGTAATCTAAGGAAGAAATTAATGGTTGATGTCTATGAGACATTAATAATGCACAATTGAAGTGCCACGCAAAAAGAGTCGAACAGATTGAAGACAAAGCGAGAAGTATTGTAAGAAGATGAAGCGAAGTAATACGATCGTCCCTGGTACTTTCACCTTGGGACCTGCTTCCATGCGGCGTAGTCCCTCGAGAGGTTTCACCAGCGCCTCCACACACCATCTGGTCGTGTGTCAGTGTGACTTAAGACTGGCTCTCCGAACAACCTCCTCGTGGTGCCATCTGGGCTGTTCGGGAGTTTCGCGTTCCGGCGAATGGTTCGGCAGCAGCGTTTCAGGACGTGGTAGGTTTTCGCTTAATAAGCGTTCTCCCTAAAAGCTACAAATGTCCGTTTAGCAACACTGCGACGTGGCGGATGTGACTCGCCACTAAATAAAGGCACTGCCCCTTGTTTCCTTTGGAGACATTGAACACACTGGCAAGCAATCCGAGCAAAGGATCTTGTCTCTGATTTCAAGAGTGTTGGGCCCCTGACATGGCTTGTCGTCATCCGAAAGGCGTATGAACTGAGTGTCCAGTCAACGGCTCCCAACACGTGTGGATCCCTCATCTCGCCCTGCTGCCTTGTGGGTTAGGCCCTTTGGTCAAAGACTCGGGGCGGTGGTCCCCTAAGACAATCTACCTAAGCTTTGGCAACCGGGTACTATCTGGCCTACTGACGAACCATGGACTTACAACGATAAGCATTCACACTCTCTTACTGCTACGATGTTATTCACTCATCCTACAATGCCAAATTCATAAGCACACGCCACTATTTTACCTACCCTTCCCTTGTACCATTCACACCCGTTTTTACCTTATCCTCCTACAGCGATCAACCCCACCTCCACCGATGAACCTGTTCCCGTGACATCTGCCAACTCAACCACACAGTGCTCAACAGAAAGCTGCCAGCCCCGAAGTCTTCCATCATTGTTCCTGCAACCCGGAACACAGTTCAAATTTGCGGCCTTCAACGTACGCACAGTACTACAGATCGATCAGCAAGCTGGACTTGCGCGTATGCTAGAAACCCTTCGAACTGATGTCTGCTGCCTGAGTGAAACGCGACTCCAGGACCCCAACTCGGTTTACCATCTAGCGTCACCGCTCCACCGAGGTACCCGCTTCCATCTCCACCTCTCCGATGACGCCAAGTCCACCGCATCTGGGCAAGTTGATGTTGGAATCTCCCTCAGTGCTAGAGCCGACGCTGCTCTGATTGATTGGATTCCGATCAATAGTCGCCTTTGTGCGATAAGGCTCCATGGCTCTTGTAAAGTTAGCAGACGTTGAGTCGAAAATCGTGCTCTCTTTTTGATCTCTGTCTAGGCGCCAACTGACTGTAGCTCGGACACAGTCAAGGGCCAGTTCTACCAAAACCTTCATGAACTTCCCCTTAGGGCTCCTAAAACAGACATCATTGCTTTGGCAGGAGACTTCAACGCGCTTGTCGGTTGGCTGCTGCCATGTGAGCGCCACCTCGTGGGACCGCATGGATATGATGATGTTCGCACAGACAACGGGGAGAGACTGCTCAGTCTGTGTGCTGATCATTAACTTTTCCTCTCTAGCACGAGCTTTCGTCGTCCTGAATGCCAGTACGCCACTTGGCGCTCCCCATCATCAACCCAGCGCTGGTCACAGATTGACCACATAGCCATAAGTCG